GCTAACCAGAAGGCTGGCGGTTCAAACCCACCAGCCACTCCTTGGAAAGAAGGTTGGGCAATCTACTTCCATAGTGATACTGCCTTGGAAACCCAAGGAGGGGTCGCTATGAATCGGGTCTGACTCGACAGCACGTAACAACAACAACAACATCCTCCCATAAGTATCACTCAGTCTACCTATTACAAGCGTACCTATCCTTCAAGGCTTAGTTTAAGGCTCACCTTAAGAATCTTCACTGAGTTCTTGAGTCAGAAATTATCTTCTTCCTAATCTCCTGAAATGCTCTTTGTAGGGCATTTATCACAGTGTCTCTTGTGCTTTTTTTTTATGTATGTGTGTGCGTATATAAGTAGATCTCCCTGTTCGACTACTAGCTTCTTGAAGGTAGGGATGATGTATTGTATCCATTCTCATATTCTCCAGGCAAGTAGCACAATTTTTTCTCCCATAATTACTGTTAGTCAAATACTAAGTAGCTAAAACACAATTTTCTTAGCATCCTTCCCATAAGAATCTTAGATTCTTGAATTTTTACATCACTCATATTCCTCCTCTTCTCCTTCTTCTCCTCCCCCTCCCCTTCCTGATCCTCCTCCACTCCACCTTCTCCATTTTCTTCCTTTTCTTCAGACTAAACCACAATTAGTAAATTTTACTTAAGCCAAGACCTGTTCCTTATCCTTTTATGTTAGGAGTATATACACGTATCTGTATTTTGGAATTATTGTATGTTTTGTCTACATAGTAAACATTATCCAGTAAACATCAAGTGATAACTGCCTTAACTCTTAATACATAATTTCCCCCCTTTTCTCCAATTTCCTAGCCCTTGAGCATGGTGGAGCTCTGGTAGTGTAGTGGATAAGGTATCTGGTTGCTAACCAGAAGGTCAGTGGTTCAAACCTACCAGCCACTGTGCAGGAGAAAGATGGGGCAATCTACTTCCATAAAAATTTACAGCCTCTGAAACCCAATGGGGGTTGCTATGAGTCAAAATCAACTCAATGGCAGTGAGTTTGGGTGTTTGTGTGTGTGTGTGTGTGTGAGAGAGAGAGAGAGACAGAGAGAGACAGAGAGAGAGACAGAGAGATTGAGAGCCTGGTGATTAAATCTCAGGCTTGGAGCACCAGGCTGGGTCTGAATCCCACCTCTGCCATCCAGTGGCTGTGACCTCAAGGAAGTTACTTAACTGTCAGTTTTGCCATCTGTAAATTAGAGATGTTAGTAGTGACTACAGGAACCCTGGTGGAGCAGTGGTTATGTGTTCACCTGCTCAATGAAAAGTCAGAGGTTGAGAAAGATGTGACAGTCTGCTTCCATAAAGATTTATAGCCTTGGACCCTATGGGGCAGTTCTACTCTGTGCTAGAGGGTGCTATGAGTCCGAATTTGACTCGAAGGCAATGGGTTTGGCTAATGGTGACTACACCCTAGGATTGTTTCAAGGACTAAATGAATTAGTAACATATAGTGTTTAGAACAGTGCCTAGCATAGAGTAAGCACTCAAAACCTGTTATTTTTCCTCTTGCACACTAGAACCATTTGGGAAAGTAGTGGTGAGACAAAGAGGGTTGGGAAGAGTAACCAGGCAGACTAGTGCTCAGCTATATCAGAATCATTTGGAGATTGCATTAAAAATATAGATCTGTGGGCTCCAGCCTGAGATTCTGATGGAACCCAGGAATCTCTTCTTTATGAATATGTGTCTCAGGTGCTTTGAATGGACAGTTAGGTTTGGGGATGATTGGCATAAAAGAAAATTTGGGGTAAGAAGATCAGGGCTCTGGCGGTGTTTTTTTGCCAGTGACCCAATATATGACTTTTCTGGGACTCTTTTCTCAGCTGTAAATGCAATTAAGACATTTGATTTACTCGTAGGGCTGTGGCAGGAGTCAAATTGCTAAAGTCAATTTCTGTGGGAAGCTGGCTTACTGTGGTAAAAGAAAAAAGGCGTTGGAATGAGACAGATCTGGATGTGGATTCCACTTTTGGTACTGGGCAGACATTGCTAATGGTCATATGATAGCAGCCCCTCTACCTCCTGACAGAACTCTGATCCTGCTTAGGGTTTAAGCTCAGCTAAGAACACTCTGCCTCCCACACTCCCTTGCAATTAGGGTATCCACATGACACAGTTCACTGAGAAGTCTGTGGAGGACTTCTGGCGAGCCTTTTGTTTCCTCCCTTTCCCTCTTTTTCTTGCCTGGAACACGGACAAGAAGCCTGCAGGTACAGCAGCCATTTTGTCATTATGAGAATACAAATAAGGGATGGAGGCCTACAAACTAAGGATGATGGAATGAAGAGTGAAAAGATTCTAGATCCCCAGTGATATCATCGAGCAGCTGTATCAGCTCTGTTCCAACTCCCCCCAACCTGTCCATTAAAGAGTTGTGAGAATTAAAAAGGAATAAATATAAAAATTCTAACATCAGTCTAAGCCAGTGGACACTCATGTGTATGTGGTCCCCTTCTCCAGCTATGAGGCATTGTCTCTATTTATAAAATGAGGCCCCTTTGAAATCTAATATCTTGTATTTATCTGATCATGAGTTAGAAGAATTGGGTGTTTAGGAATGGTTCCCTGGTATAGAGAGTCCTTCCCTAGGGGACAGGGCGAGTTCTGGGCATTCGGTAAGGCAGCAGTACTAGCCTGGCACTCTCAAAACCCCGCTGGGTGGCTAGGCACAGCTAGTGTGCATGGCCTGCTGTGTGGAGACCGCCAAACCCTGATCAAAGCCAATCTTAAAAATCTCCAAGTGCTCTTGGGAGGTATAGCTTGAGTCCAAAGGACACGGACTTGTCCTTGCTCTGATATAAATATACCAATTGTAAGAACCTTTCCCTGGTGACACATACATATTTGAGAGCAAGAATGGAAACCTATTAACCTCCTCCCCCCAACACATACTACACTTCCCATCAGTGATGTCACTCGGCTAATGCAGGGAGCGTGGACTGCACTGGGTGACACTGTCACGGGGGTGACCCCAAAATGACCAACTAAAAAAACCTTTCATGCAGTGTACAACAGAAATGTATTATTTTTTATAAAAATAACCCTGTAGGAAGTTATAACAACAAAAACATTCTGTAAGCCCAGCTTACAAGTACCAATATACCTACAAGGCTAAAAACTCCATGGTAATTTACTTTTTGAACCTCCTGATGCACTCTGGTGGTGCAGTGCTTAAGGCATTTGACTGCTAACCAGAAGGCTGATGGTTCAAACCCACTAGCCACTCCTCGGAAGGAAGATTGGGCAATCTACTTCCATAGAGATACTACTTTGGAAACCCAAAGAGGGGTTGCAATGAATCGAATCAACTCAATGGCAATGAGTTTGGTTTTGTTTTAATGCACTCCAGGAGCTCTAGTGGCACACAATGGTTAAAGCATTTGACTGCTAACCAAAAGGTCAGTGGTTCAAAACCAGCAGGTGCTCTGTGGGAGAGATGAGGCAGTCTGCTTCTGTAGATTTATGGCGTTAGAAACGCTATGGGGGTAGTTCTACTCTGTCCTTTAGCATCACCATGAATCAGAACCAACCTGATGGCAGTGGGTGTGCTTTTGGTTTAATATGCTGTGGTCAGAGCTGTCATTATCACCCAATTGCATAACACGTCGAATCACGTAGTTTCACCTGCACATGCTACAAGCACTGCTGTTTTCATTGCTGTCAGTGTTTTTATAACCAAAAGGGAAAAAAACAAAACAAAACAAAAAAACAACCACTACCATCAAGTCAATTCTGACACACAGCAGCCCTAGAGGACACAGCAGAACTGCCCCACAGGGTTTCCAAGGTTATAATCTTTATGGAAGCAGACTGTCACGTCTTTCTCCCATGGAGTGGCCGGTGCATTTAAACTGCTAAGTTTTTGGCTAGTAGTCAAGTACTCAACCACTGCACCACCAGGGCTCCTAGTGTTTTAATAGTCACTGATTTTGTCAAATTTTCTGGTGTTTTAGCTACACTATTGTGGCAATTAGTATTTGTGAACATATATCAACAACTTTTTTGAGAATGAAGTAGTAGTTAAAGGAAGAGGAGAAAAATCAAAATAGGCTTCTGCTCAGTTACTAATAACGTTGTAATTCAATGCAGAGTTGACAAATCAATTTTGTTAGTATTCATGTCACCTAAGAAATATTACATTTAAGCTATTTACAGCTACATTTACCACATATTATTCTATGAATAAAATTCATAATAACCATTATTAAAGATTCTATATGATCTGTTATGGATGGAAGTCCGTGGGGGAGGGTGACACCATAATTTACTGCACTGGGTGGTAACAACCCTAGTGATGCCATTGCTCCCCATGGTTTTCTCCCATTGCAGACGTATATATTTGGGTGGGAGTGTGGTTGCCTTAATATCAGTGGGGAGGGAGAGAGAGAGGTGTTTTGGTTTTCATTACCATTCTCACCTGCCCACAGCATGACTTTTATAGAATCACGCTACTCTCTTTATGACCCATGGGAACATACATGACTCATCTAGACCAGCTGCCCTCTTGGCCAGCTGAGTCCTGCAGGTCCTTGTTGCCTTCCTGGCACTGGCAGTCTTATTTGATCATTTCAGCTGTTGCTGAATTCCATAGCACCAGAGTCAATACTACTAACACTCTCACAACGCTTATGCATCAAAATATAGTTAGTGAATACAAAGAGATTTGTGTTTTATTTCTTGAAGCAAATGTATTCGTCCTCCATTATTTAAAAAGATTGAACAGCAAAAAGCTCAATCTCCCTTTACTATAAAAGTAAAGAAAATCATGCAATGAGATGATCCTGTTGGGCCTTCAGCACAGACATGCCTTCTCTCTTCCCAGGCTCCCCACCATCCAAGGCAGGCTTTTGTCCTCAGGAGACTGAATTTTGCCTCCTTTGGCTCCTTCCCAAAGTAGGGCAGTGCTGACTTTCTTTCACCCCTGCCAGTGTGCGTCCTCCTCCCTCATGGCATTCACAAGCCAGTCCTGCTCGGTCCCTTACTCAGAGTCACTGGTGTCACTTGCCTCCATGGTCAGCAGCTTTGAGTAGTTGATTTTCTGCTCTTGGGGCACCCTTGCCTGGATGGTGAGGAACAAGGCCAGCCAGAGCAGCAGGACCACGCAACAGCCCTGGTAGAGTACAGCCAGGCTGGAGTACACCACCACGAAGCCCCCCAGAAAACTGCCCAGGCTAGACCCGCTCCCATAAAAGTAGCCTCGGAACATGGCACTCAAAGACCTCTCCATCCCAGGGGTGGCCAGGTCCTCTAACGAGGCTCCCACTGCCCACCAAAGAGCCCCACTACTGAAGGCACTCAAGACCTGGACAGGGAGGACAGACCACCAACTCCACAGGAAGGAGTAGTAAAGCAGCTGTCCAGCAAGGCAGCCCAGCCCCAGCCCCACCGTACCCACCCTGGACAGTTTCCTAAGCAACTCAACCCTAAACGGATGAAGGAGAATTTCCCCCAGCAAGCTGAGGGTGACTGAGAAACCCATGACAACCTCGCTGCTGCCATGGTCCTTCATGTGCCAGAACAGAAAGTTCTGCACAGTACTGGCAGAAGCTCCCACCAAAAAGACAGTGAAGGCCAGGAGAATGAGACGGGGGTCGCCCCCTATGAGTGACAGTGCTTTGACAGTATTGTGGCTGGGCTCCCGCCACCTGCAGATGGGGACAGGAAAGGCAATGCTCACCAGTAGGGCCAGGGTGCTGACAAGTGAGTAGCCATAGAAATACACAACACCCCGGGGCCCACTGCTCATTAGGAAGCAATCCAGCTGCCCCACCAAAACGCCAATGCCACACGCACCAGCCGACATGCCCAGCAACCTCCAGACCCACAGGCTTTGGTAGCGGTCAGTGGCATCCACAAAGTCTAGGTATTCATAAAGGCTGTCAGCTGCCACCTGCTCCAGGGGGGCTGTCAGCAGTTCCCAGAACACCATGGATCCCAAGGAGAGGAGGAAAGTCCACCGCAACCCTTCCAAGGAGAGGTCAAGGGTCCGGGCTTTCCCCTTGACTACTGACAAATTGGTTGGGTGTCCCAGCTCTGTACTTTCAGGCAGCAGAGGTAGGGCAGTATTGACCATCTCAAAAGAAGTCATGTGATGGAGAAGAACAGGGGATGTTGTTCTGGCTCCTTCAACAGAGTCCACTGAGTAGTTGGGCAGATCACTGAAAGATTCTTGCTCACTTTCATTAGGCCCTTTTCTGAAGCCAAAGGCTTCCAGGATTCCAGTACTCTCAGCTAGCAGGCTGGGAGGCCCCGCAGGGTGGTTTGAGGCCAACTCTTGTGTTGAAGTGATATTCACCGTCCCAGGGATCTCCAGAGGTACCACTGTGGTGGTCATGTTGCTGCTTCCATTACACGAGCTGTAAGCCAGGTCTTTGTCCAAAGGTGGGACTAGAACCATCAGTAGGCTGGCTCCCATCGAGCCCAGCAGCGAGCCTATCAGAAGCACTCTCCTTTTTTGGTACCTTTGGGCCAGGAAGGCACAGAAGGGAGCCCAGAAGGCTGCGATCAGGTGCTTGCTTCCCATCGAGATGCCCACCCATGGCGCCGCTAGGCCCAGCTGCCTCAGGTAGAGGGTCAGGAATGGGGTCACGCAGGCGTCCCGGACTCCACACACCAGATGGAAAAGCCTGGCTACCCCCAGCGCCCTGCTGATGTCCCACTGGGGGTTGGCGCTCATGGCTGCCCGGCTCCGACCGACCCGGGCCGGCAGAGGGAGCAGCGGGGCGCAAGGCGGGCGTGGCGCTCTTGCACGCGGGCCTGTCAACTGGCCTGAAAGGGCGACGGCGCCGCCTGAGTTGGGCGCGCTCCCATGTCCCCAGGTGGAGGTTCAAGGGCTAGGGTCGCGCTGCGCGCCTAACTGCGCCTTAGGCCTCCGGTGGCGCCGCGGTCACCGGGTCAACGGCCGCCCCCTCCACGTCCGGCCACGGGCCCGGAAGTGGCCCCGCCCCAAGGGGCGGGGCGGCGGGGAGGAGGCGGGGTTGGTGCACCTGCCGGCTGCACCTGACGCATCTTGCTGCCTTCCTGGGCCCTTGGCTTCACCCCCACCTGCCCGGCTGAGCGCAGGTGTGCGAGACTTGCGTCCTGTGGCCTGCAGGGAGCGCTCCAAGCTAGGCCACAAGGACCCGCCGGCCTCTGGCAGCCCTGCGTGGCCCACAGAACTTTCACTAAATCCCTGAGCTGCTGCTTCAGGCAAGTGAAATTGCTTGACTCGTGGAAGAGGAAGCGAGAATGGAATTAACAATACACACGAGGCTTCTTCAGATCTTCACTCAAATGGTGTCTGAGCAATGACCTCCTTATTATCCTCAGTGACAGTCTTTGGCCACCCTAACTAAAATCCTCCCCTCTTCACACACACACACACACACACACACACACTCTCTCTCACACACACACACACACACTCACTCTCCTCCCTGCTCTATTTTTCTGTGTAGTATTTATCACTCTCAAACTATGAATTTACACTCCACTCAGTTATCTGATTTTGTCTGTTTCTATCAGAATCAAAGCTCTAGAAAGAGCTTTTTTTTTTTTTTTTGTCCCCAGGCCCTAGAACTGTTTCACTGTATGTGAGCTGCCCCTGAAAGAGGCCTGACCTTGGATGACACAATTTTTCTTCAGTTGAGACAATCCCCAAAGAGGGCTGACAGCTGAGGACTGTCTTCAGTGGCACACCCAGTAGCTGGGCGGATAAGCCTTTCATTCCTGAAAGGAATCTGGGCAGCATATCACAGCTTGCACCACTGGGTGTTTGCACTGGATAGTTGTAATCTACACCTAGGGGTGGCAGTTGTAGCTGCCATCCTGCCGTCCCCAAACTCATGGCAACCCAACACACAGCGGAATCAAACTGTTGTGATCCACGGGGTTTCCAGTGGTTGGTTTTTTGGAAATAATCACCAGGTCTTTCTTCCCCAGAGGTGGCTAGCTAGCATTTAATCAAAATGCCACATTCCAGTTCTCAAACAAGTACTTCAAAAATCTCTATCTCAAATTAACAAGAGTGGTTGCTTCATTAACTAACATAATGGACATTGGAAATAGTTCTTTACTGGTGAGATTAGTGGTGTCCAAGTCATGTGAATTGGTTATAAATATTTTTGGAGGCACTTCCCTCCTTGTGTGAACAAGGTATAAGAATCTAGAGATTCCAGTTGTCTAAACCCTTTGGAATGGTGTGGGCTTTAGTCCAAAACCATCCAGTGTCCAGCCACTGACCTCAGAGGCCTCTTGCTGCCTGAATCCAAACATAAGACAGCTGAGTCCCACCCTAGAATGTTGAAACGTTTGTCCTGAGTGAATATTTCATGTAAGATTTGATCAGAGCACATGGAGGAGAGAGATCTGTCTTTTCTGAACTTCCAGAGCAGGCTGTATGATTATTTGGGGGAGGGGCTGCTCCTTGTCAATGAATGGATGTGTAACAGAATTTCGTCTGTCACTTGCTTTCATTATAAGGTGACAGAGAGGTTGTTGGGGAGGAGACGTAGAGCCCTCACTTAAATTCTACCCACTGCCATTGAGTTGATTTCAACTCATGGCAACCCCGTATGTTACAGAGTAGACCTGCTCCATAGGTTTTCTTGGTTGTCATCTTTATGGACGGAGATCTCCAGGCCTTTCTTCCATGGTACTGCTGAGTGAGTTTAAACTGCCAACTTTTAGGTTAGTTGTCGGGCATAAACCATTTGCACCACCCAGGGACCTCACCTAACTGTAACAATTGTTAAACTCTGTTCTTTACCTGAGACCAAACCAAACCAAACTCACAGCCATCGAGTCAGTTCCAACTCATAGCCACCCCCTTTGGGTTTCCGAGATGGTAAATCTTTACGGAAATAGATTGTCCAGTCTTCCTTTTGTGGAGTGGCTGGTGGGTTTGAACCGCCAACTTTCTGGGTAGCAGTCAAGTGCACTAAGCCACCAGAGTTCCTTGTTCTTTACCTAAAGAACCCAGTAAATGCCCCAATTGATATGAACTAGTTCACATCATCCCCAATAGCAGGAGGGAAAAAAAAAGTGTAGCCACCTCCAGGTAAACTCACTCAAATTCAGTGATTTCTCAGTCAGTTCAAGTTTAAAACCAACTCAGTCACATGGAGGACTGACCTCCTCTTTCCCATTCCCACGTTGTGCAGTGGGGCAGCTTCAGGAGAAGGCATCCACTTGGAGACAGGGCTGGTCGGAGAGCTAGTCGTGGGTTGAGAGGAGGGAGCAGGCAGACAGACTACCGGTTATACTTCACAAAACTCTCTTGCCTGGCCTGCGTGGGTTCATTAGGTTGTGTTCATCTGTTCCTAGGTCTTGCTCTGTCCTGGACTCATGTCCCCTGAGGAGCAGGAACTCCTTCAGGCTGGTGTCCATTGGGCACTCACGTTCCCCATCTGGCCCTCAGTGCCATGATCCACTCTGCTGCCCACATGGTCCCCAGCTGCACCCTTTGGCTGTAACTGTGAGACTCCTTGGGCTTGTCTACTTTCAGCTACCTGAGAACCCCTTGCCTCCTTGCCATGCTCCATGAGGCCCAGGGACCTTCTCTAAGGCTGCCCAAGGGCCCCTCCTGAGGCAGCCCTGGCAGTTCCCCTTCCACTGTTCCCCTAATCATGGAGAATGCATTCTGGGGCTTGTGTCTACTCTTGGCTCAACAAGGCCAAGAGAGGCCACCTCTCTTCTCTTGGATTCTTAAAAGGGACTTTTTCCACCACCACTCCACTGTTCCCTGGGACTCCACCAGGAATAGGGATGGACTTAATTAAATCCAAGCCTTTATGTTCTCTATGTGACTTTCTCCTCAACCCCTTACGTAGCTTTAGGGATCGGGCCACTGGTTGGTTGTGATTTCTCTTTCCTATTTTACACCTTAATATAAATCTTTGAATCAAGAGCCAAACATTTTGATGTCTCTAATCTCTGACTCCTCTGGAACCACCCTGCATCCCCACCTCCACTTGTGCTGGTTGGAGAGCTAGTCGTGGGTTGAGAGGAGGGAGCAGGCAGACAGATTACCAGTTCATTCTTCACAAAACTCTCTTGCCTGGCCTGCGTGGGTTCATTAGGCTGTGTTAAGTACTGCTCCCTGGTTTCTTTTCAGATACCAACATGGCTGGGTATTAGATGAAACAGTAACACTTTGGTGTGCATTTATTGAATCTGACATTTCCCCTTCAACTGGGAGTAGGTGGGGGTGGGCAGTGACTCAAGAGAGGGAAGGGGACAGACTTAGGAGGGAGGCGGTACAGTTGCCTTTACCTGCTTTGCACTTTACCCTGGGTCACAGGGCCACGGCCAGCAGCAGCTCCAGTCTTGGTTTAAGGGATGGGTGGGGAGTGCAAGTGGGAGAAGAGGGAATTGAAAATAAATGAAGGCGAGGACGTTTATGCTAGAAGTTGGGCTTTGTGTGTGTTCACTCGTGTGGCTGCAGCTTTGCCCAGGCATCCCTCAGGCCTGTGTGGCCCTTCTCCACCACAGACCCTGTGACCAGGCTCCCTGTGCTCCACACTCCTGGTCAGGGCAGCAGCTGCCCAGGGGAGCTGGCCTTGTTCTGGCTGTCGCTCAGCGGGTAGTGTATCCTTCCTCTTGGGCCTTCTGCTCTCAGTCTCTGCTCCTCCACTGCCCATGAGGCTCACTGGACGATGCCTGAGAATGTGTTGATGGGCATCAGGAGGGGCTTGGGCTTGGCTTTGGTCATTTCCATCACCTTCTGCTGGTGTGAACTGAGCCACGGTGCCTTAGACTTCTGGGCTCCAGAAGAAGGCTCTTGGCAGGGAGCAACCTCGAATCTGTTAAGTGGGGAGAGGCCAGCTCAGGTGGCAGATCTCTTGAGGGGTCAAGCCTGCCCAGGGCCTTTTAAGGGTAGACTATTGTAGGGATATAGAGGAGGGGGCTTTGCAGAGGGAAGAGGGAGAGTCAGGATGAGAAACAGCACGCTGGGCCTGACACCTGCAGAGGGGATGTAGCCTGGATCTGTGTATGCCTGCCTTAGTCAAATGCACCCACCCAGATACAACCAGCAAGGGTCACATCATTGGGGCACAGATGCCACAGAAGGCCAGCCTGAACTGGAGAGGCCAGTGTCGGCAGAGGGGGTTGGGTCAGGAGGGCTTTATGCTGTATGTATGTATAGGAATCCTGGGAAATTTTTAATGTCAGCTGCTGCCCCATGCCAGGCATTCATCTGCCTCTTCTTCCGGGACTCAAGTCATAGGGCAGTCCCCATCAGACCACCTGTTTGACCAGAGGAGCTGCCTCTGGTAGGTGTCCTGGGCTAGAAGCAGGAGATGGCAGAAGCTGGCCCCCATGAGGGATGGCAGGCCCGGTCTCACCTGACCACATCCTTGAAGGTACGTCGATTGTCCTTGTCCAGTGACAGTGTCAGCAGCCTCTGGTCCTGGCTCTGGATCTGGATGTTGGCTGTCCGGAAGGTGTTTGTCACTGTCTGCAGCAAAAAGACAGCTCAGGGAGGTGTCACTTGTATTCAGCATATAGTCCTGATTGAGTGTCACCTTCATTCAGCACATGGCCCTGCCAATATTCCCAACCCTGAAATCTAGGTGTTTCTTTGGACCAGCACGTGGGGTCCTCAGCTCTCTTCCTTTAAGTAACTGTAGGCAGTGACAACCCTGTCGAAACTGCTTCTAAGCTGCCCTTACCCTTGGGTCTCTCATTTCTGTAGTTGTTTTCCCAATATGTTGTCCTTAATTTTGAGCAGAAACTGGAATGCTTTGAATGGGGTTTGCAGGATTATCAAGTGACCTGAGTTTGAAGTATTGATTTATTCAGCTGACATTTTCTGAGGGAGCTCTGGTAGCATAGAGCCTAAGACACTTAACTGCTAACCAGAAGGCTGGCAGTTCAAACCCACCAGCCACTCCTTGGAAGGAAGATGGGGCAATCTACTTCCATAGTGATACTGCCTCGGAAACCCAAGGAGGGGTCACTATGAGTCGGGTCCGACTCAATGGCACATAACAACAACAACAACAACCTAGGTGATAGGCATGTTTTGATGTATGGGATCTAGAGGAGTATTTCAGAAGTTTTCTAAGTCCTGAGCCCAGTTCTCAGTGATAGATTACATATAAAATTATTTATCTGGGCAAAGACAGAGGGTTTAGAAAGCAGCTAAGTATCCCCATGCCTCAAACCAAGTCTGTGTTCAGGGCCCTATACCACGAGATTAGTCCATGGAACCAGACATAGGTGGAAGGACTTCTTCCTCTCCATGGGTGGCCTGGGGCCAAGTGTTCCTGCTTTTGTCTCCCTAAAGCCCTTGCTGTTATGTTGTTGTTATGTGCCGTCAAGTCAGCCCTGACTCATAGCGACCCCTCCTTGGGTTTCCGAGGCAGTATCACTACAGAAGTAGCATTGCCCAACCTTCCTTCCGAGGAGTGGCTGGTGGGTTTGAACCGCCAGCTTTCTGGTTAGCAGTCAAGTGCCTTAGCCACTATGCTACCAGAGCTCCCAAGGCCCAAAGAAAAGCAGTCTCCAGGCAGCCCACTAACCCAAACCTGCAGGGGCTACTCCAGAGAGGCCTCTCCCATTGGGCAGAGAATTTGGAGGGGCTGGGTTCCAGGGTGCTATTCTGAGTCACCTCCATGAACCATTTCACATACATACTGTTGCTCTGTGTAATTTGCCACCACAGAACATTTGAGTTGCCAGAGACCTGAGAGTCCACCTCATTCAAATGTTCTCAACCCTGGCAACTTATAAGAATCATCTTTCGGACAAGGTTGTAGTCCTTTCTTGGCCACACCCAGCTATCCGGAGGGAGTGAGTAGTTGGACCTGTGAGCTCGGGACCAAGGTCGCAGAGGACATTAAGCTCAATTGGCATAACATACTACACAGAAACATTGTTCCACATCCTACTTTGGCAAGTAGTGACTGGGATCTTAAAAACTTGCAAGTGGCCATCTAGATGCAATGATGGGTCTTTTCTCATCCAGAGCAAAGAAGAATGAAGAAAACCAAAGATGCATGGAAACAGTTAGTCCAAGCAACTGGTACACCATCCGATCCTCAGCCTATCCAACTATGAGACCAGAAGAGCTAGATGGTGCCTGGCTACCACTGTCAGCTACTCAGAAGGGGATCTATGTAGGAGATCCTGGATAGAGTGGGAGAACAATGTGGAACAAAACTCAAAACCATAAAAAAAAAAAAAAAAAAAAAGGGACCACATTTGCTGGTCTGAAAGAGCCTAGTGGAACCAATGAGACTATGGCCTCTAGCTGCCCTTCAGGTCTGGAATTGAACCCACTCCTGTGGCTTCCAGCCAGACAAAAGACAGGTATACATTTTACGTTAGGTAGATACACTCCTTGGAGAGATCAATCATGGGAGAATAGAAGGGCTGTGTATGCACAAGGAGACAGCTCAGGGGGCAGGAGTGCATGGGAAGAAAGGACACAGGCAAGAGGTAACTATGGGGAGGAAGTGGGAGGGAAGCTGTTGCATTGTGGAAAACTGCAGTCAATGTGTAAAATGAGACAAAGTGTATGTGAACTGCTGTATGGAAAATGAATTTAATCCGTAAGCTTTCACCCAAATCACAATAATAATTAAAAAAAAAAAAAAGTCACCTTTCAAACAATAAAATTAGAGATTTTTATTTAAGTGGTCTGGAGTTGAGCCCAGAAGAAAGACTAGACAATCCACTTCCATAGAGATACTGCCTCGGAAACCCAGGGAGGGTCGCTATGAGTCAGAACTGACTCGAAGGCAGTAAGTTTGTTTTTTTCTGGTTTGGTGTTGAACCCAAGTATGGATTTTTTTTTCCCCCAAACTTCCTGGATGTTGCCAAGGAGTCCTTCGGTGGTACAAGTGGTCAAGTGCTTGGCTGCTAACCAGAACGGTGACAGTTTGACTCAACCAAGAAGGACCTTGAAAGAAAAGCCTGGCAACCAAGTCTGAAAAATCATAGCCATTGAAAGTTCTATGAGCACAGTTCTACTCGGACATACACAGGCCTCTGAGAGCTGGGATCAACTGCACAGCAAGTGGCTACCTTGAAAGACTGCTGTGAAGATTAAATAAGACAGTATATGTTAAGTGCCTGGAACATGGTGAGCACTGTATTAGTGTTTGTTGCTTATCGCCCAAGGCATTGATTGCTAATCAGAAGGTTGGTGGTTCAAACCCACCAGCCGCTCTGTGGAAGGAAGATGGGGCAATCTACTTCCGTAAAGATTTACTGCCTCGGAAACCCAAAGGGGATCACTATGAGTTGGAATTGACTCAGTGGTAGTGAGTTTGGTTTTTAGAGTTTTTTATTAATTATAATTTTCCAAGAAGGAGCCAGGCATGAGGAATGGGCTGAGTAATACAGCCTCACTGTCAGAGGGAAAGTGGACAGAATCCACTGTGGATTCTTTCTCTCCTCACTGTGTCTCCTAGTCCAGGCCCTTGTCCTGACACCACGCTATCTGTAGATTCCTGTCTCAGTTTGAACAGGGGGCTGTGAGTAAAGACAGAAAGATCCACCAACATCTTTCTGAAGACAGTGGAGAGCCCATGGCAGAGGAGAGGGGACTTCGCTGCTGTGCCACAGAACCCATGCAGCCCCAGTGCCCTGGAGTCCCCAGCCCTGAAGGGCAGTTGCCAGTGGGAGAGCAGTCAGTGGACACAGACTAGCACCTGATGGGGTGGTTGTGAGCACTGGGATGTCCTCTGTGACCTCCTAAAGATACCTGGAGAGATTCTGCAGGGAGGCTGTAGTCCTGCATGAGCTAGGGGTCAGGCGACAGCCAGCAGCATTCATCTTATGCTAATAAATGGGCCTACACCTGAAATGACTCCATCTGGTGAGGCTGTGGGACACCCCAGATTCCTATAGGTGAGGGGACCAAGGTCTGGAGGGGTTGAATGCGACCTGCTAAAAGCTCTGGTGGCGTAGTGCCTAAGGCATTTGACTGCTAACCAGAAGGCTGGCGGTTCAAACCCACCAGTCACTCTTCAGAAGGAAGATGGGCAATTACCTCCATAGAGATACCACCTTGGAAACCCAAGGAGAGGTCACTATGAGTCGAATCAACTCGATGCATTAACTATGCTATTATGAAGGTGTCATAGTAGGGAGGTACTTGATTCCTCTTTCTACTGCTTCAGGCTGCTCTGAGTGTCTCCTGGGGAATCTTGGCCTCCAAGACCCTGCCTGCAGAAACTGCCCTGTCCTCTGGATAATCAGAAGCAGGCTCGGGGCCTCCTTCCACCTCCCTGCAGTGCAGGGTTCTTATTCCCCTTTGTGGTTGGCACTCCTAGACACACCCTACGTGCTTGGCTTTGGCTCTTAAAGACAACAAGGGTCTTGGATCTTAGTCTTCCGAGAGCAGCTGCAGAAGTCAGTTGAAAGAACCAGATGCAGAACTTGCTAAGGGTCCAGTCTCACAAGACGTGGGGATGGGCAAAGTGCTACTAATTGCCTCCTGTTCTCCTCTGGTGGCTTCCTGATCCCCACACCCCAATAACCCTGATTGACTGTTTCCACTTTATTTTCCATTACTTTCTATATCTGACTTCTGATCCTGCCAGGGTAATATATTCGATGATCCTAAAACTCACCAAGCAAACCACAGTGCCCTTACTCATGCTATTCTCTCAGCAGGGAATGCCTTCATTTCAGCTTACCATGAACTCCTCCCTGCTGCTCAGTGTTTATTATTGGATCCAATCAGACAGAACATGCATGATGACCTGCCTGAGTTCCAAGAGGAAAGTACTGGAATGCCCCCTGCCCTCCAGCAAGCCTGTGCAGGGATGAAAGAGAACTTGCTTGGGTGATAAGTTTAGATTTTCAAAAAGCCCCTAACTAGGTTGTTTAAAGAGGTCATTGAAGGCAGAAACTATTTTAAGGAACTGACTTGGAAAGAGGAAACACAATGTAAGGGTAACTGGGTCCACCTTGGAGCTTAAAGCTTCAATACCAGGTTGCCCTATAGGAGGAGTCCCTGGTAGAGTGCAGCTGCTAACCAAAACGTCCAAGCTTGAAGTCCACCCAGAAGTGTCTGGGAGAGGGGCCTGGAGAGCTACTTCTGAGAAAACAGTCATGGAAAACCCTGTGAACACACGGGGTCACCGGGAGTCAGAATCGACAGCAACTGGTACTGGTCCTATAGGAAGGCAGATTTCAACTCAATAATGTAGATCTCTCAGCCAATCAGAGCTCTGCTACAGTGGCATCCTGCCTCAGGGAAAGTGAGCTGACGTTCAGGGCAGAGCTCTTCTAGAGGTGGGAGGATGGACTAAGAGACTCAATATCTAGTGAGCGCCTACTATGTGCCAGACACCACGTTGAGTGCTGGGGGTCATGGGGAAGAATAAGATACGAGCCTTCAGCTCAGGGAACTCACAGTCCATTAACATAAAAAGATGTTATGTATAGTGTTGCAAATGATTTATGGCTGTGTCCCCAGGATTCTAGGGGAGCGCAGAGGTG